TTAATTAAATGTAAAATCATAAACGAGCTCTTAATTTTGAATACATTATATGATTTAATTAATTATTAAACCTGGGTATTGTTTTACTAAGTCTACAAGAGCCACAGCTGCATGTTTACTTTCATCCACTTTAGCAATAATTTTTTGTGTGAAATTAAAATCTCCAAGACCATCAGAGCCAAAGACACTGTCAGGCTTATAATTATTTATTAATGCTCTATGAGCTCCTTTATATACAGGTATCTGTAAAATATTCTAGTATACTATTTTTTAATTTGATTAAAAAATATGATATACTTACATCACTTCTGTTGGCAACTGTTAAGATTTTGAGTACATTGGTGATTACATTTTCCAAATTAGTGTTACCATAAGAACAAGTAATTGCTATAACTTTTAATCCTTTGGATTCAGATTTAAGGGTCAATAGAATAGCTACTGCATCATCTGCTCCAGCATCTGTATCTATTATAATTTTCTCCAAAGCTTCAATAGACCTTGTAAAAGTTTTTATCATGATATGCAAACTGAATAAAACAACATACTTAAGAAATGTAAACGAATATATGCTAAACACAGTTTTATTCTTCTTAAATTTCTTCTATAAATTATATTACCAAGAACATTGTTAAATTTTTACCTGACACTGCATAGCATAAAAAGAAGAGAGGCTATAGTAATGAACTTGCAAGGAAACAAATAGAGCTTCATGTTTCCCTTTTGTTAAAGTAAAAATACCATCTGTGCAAAATGGGAATGGTACTTCAGTTTAGAATAACTTTTTTTCAAGATATTTACAATAAGTAAGAAGAACTTAAATTAGAGCATAAGGAATATGTATCATACCTGTTTAATTACTAGATACTACTTAACCACTCTATTCAACTTACAACCAAACTTAGATGTGAAAGCTAACTAAAACTTAGACTGAAGTATGCTACTATCAGAAAATACCAATTTGCTTATCTTAATGCAACTGAGATAATTGTCACTTATCATTGTAGGGTGTTTGGCACATACCAAATAGAGAAGTCGATAGACCGGGGAGTTTTGCATTCCATATGTCACGATGTGTCACGTTATTAATGCAAGTACTTAAAGAAACAAACGATGGTCGAATGCTAATGCAATTAAGCGTGCAACTTGGGAAGATACCAGAATCTGACAAGTATATTATTAATAGACTCCGGATTTTTATGCATTTATAGGAAATTTAAAAGTGCAAAATTGCACAGAATGCACGTAATATGTAAAAATATACAAAATATCGAAATTATAGTGCTATAATACCTGGTAGATGAAATAATTTTTTACCGAAGTTTCACTTTTTTCATCATATTCTGAAAAATATAAATTTGCATAAAAATCCGCAGTGTAGTTATTAAACTAGAAAAATGTGTCACTTTGTAAAATGTGTATTTTGTTAAAGATATGTGCTGTTATGTAACACCTATACGTAATTTTTCCAGAAAATATTTACGCGACTCAGAAAGAGAACAATTGTCTCGTCAAGCACTGACTCTCTGCTTACAATCCCTTAGAACTAAGGTGCAATTAATGGGAACAAGCACTTCTGATCTTGCACCCAACAAGAATGCAGATGCTAGAACTCAAGTGCTCCTTGACACATACTGGGTATATCAGAGAGCTTTGAAAAACTTTCAGACTAAAGAACAAACTATACAAACACTTGCTTCTTTATTAGTGGATACGTATAAAACGTATACCGGCAATAAAGTAAGTTCCTTCCTTTAGGACAGAATATATTAAGAATTTCTCATAGCTGTATTTCACTTAACATTTCGGTTATCCTTTAACAGAATTTGGAAGGAAATGTTTTGGAGATTGCTATGAAATATTGCAATGATTATAATTATAATCGGAAAGTTTTGAGTAAATTCTTCTCCAGTCTCGACAAACCTCCCGCAGAGACTCAGACACAGCCTCAGGCTATTTCTCCGACTCCCGTAAGCTTTCGAATCTTATTTTGATACCTTGATGTATCAATGGAAATTTCACTTATAATGTTTGTGTAGGTGGTCACACCTCAACCGCAGGTTACATCTACGTCACCGCAATCTTCTCAGAGTCGAAAACCTTACAGAAATTTGACATCCACTGGTCGACCAAGGGGTCGTCCACCTAATGTAAATAAGTATCTACAGGCCATGCAGCAGAGTAGTGCAATGAACCAGTTCAACGCGAAAGCTAATTTCGCCAATTATATGAGTGCATCAGGAAATCGTTCCCTAATGAACTCCTATTTCATGAATCCTTTGGTAGATCCAAACATATTATCCGCCTTATTAACCAGCGGTTTGAGCAGCAGTATGATGGATCCTTTATCTGCCATGAATTACTTAAATCAGATGGGAAATTATCAGGATATTCTTAGACAGTATCAGAGCAATCTTTCTTCGCTATCGAATCTAGCAGGTGGATTAAGCAACACAATCGCCACTGCACCTAATATTAGCAACGTACCTACAATGAGCACGTCCAGCCCTAACATGAACACTGCGACCAATATAAATAATTTGGCTAATTTGAACAATTTAACGGTGCAGCAGCTGCTGAGTTTAAGCAACGCCGCGGCGACAACCGCTCGTTCAACGCCTATGTATCAACAAGCAACTACGACAAAGACTACCACCACCGCATCAATGACTAAAGATAGACCTAGTATATCGATAACTCCAGTGAATACAGTACCACCTAAAAGCAAATCATCGAAGCAATGCCCACAGGGCGATTCTTTGCCGGTCCAATTACCAAAGTCTCTGCAAATATCGCCGCAACCATCAAAGCCTGTCTTGCAACCACCCACTACTCAAGTTTCTCTGTTAAAACCATCCATTGTTCACACACACGTTAAAACTAGTCCACCGAAACAAATAGGCGCGCCTCAAATTAGGGTCTCCAAGTCATTGACAGAGCCTCAACCCGCGCACAATCCTTCTTTATCGCATTCTCCGTTGAAAAGCAGCGCTACCACGAACCCTACTGTGGTTCCTCAGGTAGCTCATACAGTCATGAGTTCATCGATGAGCATAAAACAAACGTTACCCATGAACGTGCCCACTTCTCATTCAGGGACGTCGTTACAGCACAAACTGTTGTCAAAAAAGAATTCACAGAGATCATATACGCAAACAAACATGCAGAATCCAGTTAGAAAAACGAAACCAGCTAAAACGATGGCTGCGTTGCCGAGCAACTTCTCAAATCTGTTGAATGCAATGCCTGGAAACTCGTCGATGCCGCAACCACCTTACATACCACCAGAATTGAGTGGAATATCCGTGAGCCCAGTGAATCCTCAGCCTGGTCTGAAAGGTCCCAGTACAAAGTACTCTAATTACAAAAAGTCATCTACAAAAACGAAACCAACCTCGTTGGACATCTCCAGTTCCCTGGCAGGCTCATATTCCCAAGGAAATTCTGTGGAAGCTTTCTCGATGCTTTCTCAATTGAAACAGCATTCGCATTTAGAAATAATACCCCAGCAAAAACCTCAGCAAATGAAACCGACCATAGATTACACGAAGAACTTGTCCTCAGGTGTGAGTGTTGTTCCACAAAAAGTGTCAGAATCTTTGAGGCCGTCGAATACAGACTGCAAGACTATATACGACTTACCTAGAGGGAAATCGAGTAGCGTTTCTACCAAGAAAGGGGAAAAGTCCACGAACGATAGCGTTGAGATTATAACATTAGACGATTAAATATCCAAGAGAACGCTAATTGATATTTCATCTGTTTCTTCTTTATTTCCGCGTTCCATGCTCGAGTTTCCTTCGTTAGTATATGTTCTATTATTCATGCTAAATGCGATTGTTATCCGCAATTTACAGTGGTCGTAATATATAAATGGTAAGGGTCACAGTCATTATAAATAATATTTCTTAACATCTTTGCAGCGTGCAGTTTCATTTTTTTTTTCATAAAAGACGACTGAAATAGATCGTTAGCCTTCTCACTTCTGTGCCTAAATGGAATCATACTATATGAACGATTTAATTATCATACATGGAAAATAGATAATAATAGACGTATTCTAAAACTACGAGAATAATCGAGATGGTACTTTTACGCAAAATATAACATGTATATTCGAAAAGCTGTACCCCAAGGAAGTAGTGAAAATTTAACTTTTTACAAGTTAGAGACGCCTCAGGATGACAATGCTTGAATATCACTACTTTTCACGACGTTCTGGTAACGATCGAGATAGCAACATAAACGATAAATATTATTTCACAATAATTCCAGGGAAATGTTTCTACATACTAATAAAAGGATACATTATTTGTCTACTATGTACATTCAGCAACTAATACACTTTTCTTTACATGTAAAAGGAAGCGAATAGGCAAATGTAATTAAAGATTAGCAAAACCTGTACATTTTCTAACGAATAATTTATAAACATCTTTTTCATTAAAAAAAAAAGTGCTACATATACAGGGTGGTTCACCAGGTGTTACCACTTTGATTTGCGTGACTGTTATTCGTAGCGAAAAATTTTTCACGTTAAGTTGAATGGTTTCAAGAGGGGCAGCACATTCTTGATGTTAATTTTTTTTTTTTTTTGTAGATAAAATAAAATCACTACACATTAACAAGAGAATCATAATTTTGTAGCAATACTAAAATTAAAATATCTCCTAAATTAATGATTTTTTAACATACGTATTAAATATTTAAAAAAATTACTTTCGTATGTCCTCTATGCGTTTACCTACAAAAAAACTATTAACATCAAAATGTGCCCCTCCTGAAACCATTCAACGCTACGTGAAATATTTTTTGTTACAAATAAGAGCCACGCAAATCGAAGTGGTAATATCTAGTAAACCACCACCCTGTATATGCATATAGATATACATGCATATAATACCGTTTACTTCTATGAGATAAAAATTAAAAAATAATCCTTTTCTAGCTTATAAAATTTATTTGCAAAAACAATATTACAAATGCAACTTTTATATATGTAATTAACAAATTTTGTCATTCATTATTCTAGTGATTTAATGTTAAGGAAATGTGTTTTATATATTTGTACATATTCGAAATATTTATACGTACATATATCTATCTATGTTAATTTATCTCATAGTTTAAATGAATTTGCAGGAAAACCATGTACGCCTAAACCCTTTATGGCAAATAAGTAGCCAGCATATGGTTGTTCCTCTAATTCACTCTCATTTAATTGTATGTTCGCTGATGTTACGTACAAGGTATCGAGTTTCGGACCACCGAAAGCAACGCTAGTTATGTTCTTGGCACCGTTAATCTTAACAAAGCGCAACAGTTCACCCGTATTCGGATTTATTTGGAGTACCTAAGCATATTAAACATTTTCTTTTTTCAGAAAGTGAATGTCAATTATTTCCTGTACAATATATCTCATGTTAATTATAATAATACTTACACCACTTCCGGCATACACAGCCACCCAGAGATTTCCATCTGTATCTATAGTCATACCATCTGGTATTCCAGAAATATTATTTTTCTGAAGGTCGAAAACGGTCCTCTTGTTAGCTATAAAAAGAAAGAATTAAAGATATATATTTGTTTAATGCAATGTATATGTATTGTATCGTATAATATACATTGTACATTTCTTACATATAGCTCCTGTCTGAGAATTATAATCAAATGCCACAACCTGATAGGTGAGTGAATCGATGTAATAAAGTGTATCATTCTTATTATTCCAAGCTAACCCATTACTTATAGTTACAGGAGACACTTGTTTCTTTAACTCAAGATTATTATCAATGCTATAAAGAGACCCCACATTAGGTGGAAAAACTCCATCTTTCTCAAAGCCCATTGTCCCTAATAAGAAGAGAATTACGTTATAAGAACTTATACTATGAATAACACATTTTTCTATGAAATAGTTTATTCAACCAACCACACCACAGTCTTCCAGAAGAATCTGCTTTTGCATCATTCCATCTGGTCTCTGCTCGGTTACTGTCTGCAGTGACCAATGTTTGAGGCATACATTTTACAAGATCTTTTTCCCCATTCCAAGAAAACAATACAAAATCTATACCAGATCCTGCTACTAATTTATCGGTGCTACCTTCGACGGGAATAACAAATCCAACAGGTCCATTTTCTAATAATCAGAAAAATATGTCTGTAGAATATACTATCAATAATTGGATAACACGATTTTTAATTACTTACCGATAAAAGCAGATGTAAGAGCATGTGTTGCGGGGTCGAATCTGTATATTTTTTGAGCAAATATATCAACGAAATAAAGCTTTTGAGCAATGTGGTCCCAATGAGGACCTTCGGCAAGTCCGTATGTTCCAAACAATGGTTCAACAATCACTTTTGACATTTTCCTAATTTAAAAATTATTTGCATATAATTATGTCTACATAGAAATATGAATATACATATATAATACCTGCAGTAACATGTGATTCTAGTACATAAAGTTTACACAATGAATAGGAACGTACATAAAATGCCCCTTCTCCACTTATCCAATTAAGTAGTATGTACTTACGCTTTTACTTTATTACACAACTGATCGAGACTACTGTTTCTGGTCGATATAGAACTACACAACTTACCAAGGCTAATGATTTTAAAAAAATGATAAACTTCTCTTTTATATATCATAACTCAGCAAAATAAGAGTACTTATGCTTAGTAATCGCCCTTAATAATACACTTAATGATATGTTACGACATAGAGTATAGTGAGGTTATCATGAATAGAATTAGATCTAAAAATAATATAAGAAAAGTCGATGTTTTGCCGAAAATATGAGATAAATTATTACGATGTAAAGATTGAATATTCTCATGCAACATAATCTAATTGATTTAGTGAACCATGACAACATCGCGGGTTGTTTTGTATAACTAATAGTTTTATTTAATTAATTAAATAGTATTTTAAAAGAATAAATGCCACAGTTTTTTTTAAATTATCTTTATTATATTCTCCTGTTAGATAGACAAGAATATTTAATGTTAAAAAAAAATTACTCAAACTTTAAATGAATTTGCAACAAGGCCATGTACTCCTAGACCTCGTACAGCAAAAACATAACCAGCGTGCGGTTGTTCTACTTGTTCTTCCTTGGTTAAATCGCGACTGGATGTTGTTACAAATAAGGTATCTAACAAAGAACCTCCAAAAGTACAACTAGTCACTTTCTTTACAGGAAGTTCCACAAAACGCAATATTTCACCAGTATAAGGATTGACATTGACCACCTATTTATTTAACATATTAATATTTCATAAGCATTGTTAATCATATATCAAAAATATTATAATAGTACTTACACCACCTCCACTATACAAAGCAACCCAAAGATTTCCATCTGTGTCTATAGTCATACCATCAGGTAAACCAGAAACATTATTTTTTTGAAGGTCAAATGCAATCGTTTTATTAGCTGAAATGAATTATTGTTTATTAGAAATTCTGTTTGGTATTTTATATAAAAATTTCATACATATAGTTCCATTGGTGGGTTCATAGTCAAAAGCTGCCACTTTAAGTGTAGGAGTATCAATATAATAAAACTTATTATTCTGTTTATTCCAAGCTAATCCATTACTATTGGTAACAGGAGACAATGTTTTCTTTGGTTTAAGATCAGAATCAATACGATACAAAGATGCTTGATTAGATATAACAACATCATTCACTTCTGGTCCAATTGTTCCTATAGAGATTTTCTTATTAATAATTAAACCAATACTTTCTTTTAACAAATAGATAATTTTCAACCAACCACCCCAAAATCTTCCTGAAGAATCCACCTTTCCATCATTCCACCTAGTCCCTTTGCGATCAAGATCAACAATAGCTAGTGTTTCAGGAAGAGATTTTGTATTATTGTTCTGACCATTCCATGAAACTAGAATAAAATCTGTACCACTGCCAGCTATAAGCTTATCATGCTCCCCTTCAACAGGGATAGCATATCCAACAGGTCCATTCTCTAATAATAATAAGTTTATGAAAAAATTAATTCCCCTCTTTTCAACAAAATTTATACAAATCATCATTTTACCTATGTAAATGCAGGCAAGATCTTTTGTGGCAGGGGCAAACCTACATATGTTTTGAGCTTCTATATCCACAAAATAGAGTGTCTGAGTACGATGATCCCAGTGAGGACCTTCACTATGTATAAATTGCCCTACTATTGGTTCGATAACTAGTTCAGTATGATTATTCTGCTTTGTTGTACTCGCCACTCTATGAGTAACAAGAAAAACGTAAATACTTTAAATATTACGAAATAATAATTTTGATAAAAGTTATAAAGCAACAGCAATTTATTTCGTAATACCAATTAACATTTTCGTTCACGTAGATTTTGCAAACTTCATGCTTTATGCGTAATTGTCAGAGCAACCATGATCAAAAATCAATAAAAACGTCGTTCGATTCGTTTAACGCATACGTATATTGTACATACCACGGAAACCCGTTCACTTACCTGATTGGAACGAAGAAAACAAGGCACAATTCAAGAAATAAAAGACCCCGCATAATGATTTGTACTATATAAGAAACAATACTTATGAATATATATTATGAAATGCATATGTATACAAGTAAAAGGCAGAAACTCACGATTTGTGTAAAGCACGTTCCAAGAAGAAATTACAACTAAGTTTCGATTGTTACTTCACCTTGCTCTTTATATAGTATTTGCACATTCACCTAATTTGCTGATAGTGGAAGCAAACTTATTTAGAATGTATTGTAAAAGGCGCAGGCAAAATCAATAATGCTACTTGTTTAACGATAAGAAAACCTGTATTTGTCGAATGTAAAATTTAAACATATCGATTAATATTATCGACATATCATTTAATATTATCGTTCATTACGTTTTCCTTAAAATTTTTAATGTAAATAGAAAATCATAAATCGATATTATTTTGCAGCAATATCGGTTGAAAGAAGTACATTGTAAAAGTTAAATAATTTTTCGTTTTTGAAAATTTCATGCTCGATCAAGCCAAAAATTCAAATTCAAATTATATAATTCTTAATTAATAATGTCCCAAAATAGATTTGTATAAGGTGTATAGTTTTTAACAGGAGTCAAGGAATAAATTTTACTGTTAATATTATTAAAAATTACAGAAAATTCATTTTTATAAAAAAAACCTGCTGGAAAGCAATTCGCCTTAAAAGGCAAACAAAGCGTCGCGCTGTCCAGTATATATTTCAATTAATATTTATGTAATTTTGAATAGGACAATAAATTTCAGTTTGTAAGAATGCAAAAAATGTGCAACTTTAAATTTCTCATGTGATAGTAATATTTTAAAATTTAGTCTGAAATTTTCCTAAGGCTGTAACCGGTTTTCCAACAATTTGCATAAACCGATTATTACATTCAAAGAATTTCAAACTTGACATGGTAAAGTTTAAAAATTTTTTAAATTACTTGATAGCGCACACGTGCGCATTAGCTTTTTATTGTCAGCGTCATCTACCATCTGTTTTAGGAATTTCTCCCGCGTGCCGGCCAACATCATCAGGTCACGTGATATTAGTATATTGATACGTGTCGACGACGGTAGCCACGACTCGCTACGGTTGCCAGTCGAGCATACGCGGCCAGGTTTGCTGGGATTATTACTTTAATCGGGTGTCCTCACGGCATTGTTGATTCCTGAGTTAGTGAGAAGCGTTGTAACACCGTGGTTTTGTAGGATAGTCATATCTCGGATTCAAAATGGGATGTAAGTACAGAGTTTCCAGTCAAAATTTCGAAAATTGTTTTATTTATGACTATAGTTCTCCGTGATTAACCATGACCGTAACCTCTTGATTTCTCTTTTCTCACAACATATTGTTCACCACGTTGAATCTTTAATATTTCACTTTTCATTTGAACATTTTATTGAAACAAAAATTAATTTCTGTACGCACGTTTTTCAGTCAAATTTTTGGAGGTGATAAAGCCGTTTTGCAGTATACTCCCGGAAATAGAGAAGCCGGAACGGAAAGTAAGTTTATGCCAATCTATTTCTGTCCCTGTTTTATATTTACAGTTTCTTATGCTGTATTTTTTCACCTTTTATGCGTAATTATTCTTATCATGTTTTTTGAGAGGAATTTTTTTGGCATTTGCTATCTACCTGTTATGCCCAACTTCATTGAGGTGTTTGGTTTGAAGTGTCCTTAAATAATTTCTTCAATGGAAATGTTTTTGCAGATTCAATTTCGAGAAAAAGTATTATGGACTGCAATTACCCTGTTCATCTTCTTAGTATGCTGTCAGGTAAGGATTACTGAATAATGAGTATCCGAAACTTTTATGTGGAAATTCTCTAATTGATGAAGCATATTCTTCTTTATTTTTACAGATTCCTCTATTTGGTATCATGTCGTCAGACAGTGCAGATCCTTTCTATTGGATTCGTGTTATACTTGCATCAAACAGAGGAACTCTTATGGAATTGGGAATTTCTCCCATCGTTACATCTGGTCTGATCATGCAACTCTTGAGTGGTACAAAGATAATTGAAGTTGGTGATACTCCAAAAGACAGAGCATTGTTTAATGGTGCTCAAAAATGTAAGAAAAGCACAATGCACTTTTAAAAATATTATTATACTTTTAAATTATCATACATGTAATTTATCTGTTTTACAGTGTTTGGTATGGTCATTACTGTTGGTCAAGCAATTGTATATGTAATGACTGGAATGTATGGTGACCCAACAGAAATTGGAGCTGGTGTTTGTTTGTTAATTATCATTCAGTTATTTGTTGCTGGATTGATTGTATTGTTACTTGACGAATTGCTCCAAAAAGGATATGGATTGGGAAGTGGAATCTCTCTTTTTATTGCCACAAACATCTGTGAAACAATTGTGTGGAAAGCATTTTCTCCAGCTACTGTGAATACTGGTATGATTCTATACTCATTCTTTCACTGTTTTTTTTTTATCATTATAATTACAATAGAATAATACTTTTATTACAATATGTTCAGGACGTGGTACGGAATTTGAGGGTGCAGTAATTGCACTGTTCCATTTGTTAGCTACAAGGCAAGATAAAGTTCGAGCTCTTCGAGAAGCATTCTATAGGCAAAATCTTCCTAATCTCATGAATTTACTTGCTACAATCTTGGTGTTTGCCATTGTAATTTATTTCCAGGTACGACAATGGAATTTTCTGATTCTAGGTACATGCGAGTAGTTTGAACTAAAATCATAATTACGTTTTTATTTATAGGGTTTCCGCGTCGATTTGCCAATCAAATCTGCCAGATACAGAGGACAATACAGCAGCTATCCTATTAAACTGTTCTACACGAGCAATATTCCTATCATTCTTCAATCTGCATTAGTGTCTAATTTGTACGTCATCTCTCAAATGCTGGCTGTCAAATTCCAAGGAAACATTATTGTTAATCTCTTGGGAGTATGGTCAGACATTGGTGGCGGTGGCCCAGCGCGATCTTACCCTGTTGGTGGATTGTGTTATTACTTGTCACCACCTGAATCTGTAGGACATATTCTTGAGGATCCTATTCATGCCATTCTTTACGTTCTGTTTATGCTTGGATCATGTGCTTTCTTCTCGAAGACGTGGATTGAGGTTTCTGGTAGCTCAGCTAAAGCCGTTAGTATTTGTATTTTAATTATATGTATATTTTGTGTTCTTTAACGGATTTCAATTTTTGAAATTGTTGATTGAAATTGTTTTTTAGGTCGCAAAACAATTAATAGAGCAACAGATGGTAATGAGAGGTCACAGAGCCAATTCTATGATTCATGAACTGAACAGATACATTCCAACTGCGGCGGCGTTTGGTGGATTGTGTATCGGTGCTTTGTCTGTACTAGCTGATTTCCTCGGTGCAATCGGTTCAGGTACTGGTATCTTACTCGCCGTCACAATCATATACCAGTACTTCGAAATTTTCGTTAAGGAACAAAGTGAAATGGGTGGCATGAGTACACTACTTTTCTAAACTTAATTTACATAGACTTTAAAAGTGAACTTTTTTAATTCTAAAGAACTGAATAATAATTTATTATAAAATAAGTCCATTCGACATCAAATACTGTTGATTACTCAATAGAGTAATGGAAGGTCTTCAACATGAATCAAACCGCACACTCTTATTCTTTGTTTGCCGTTGAAAAAGAAATCATACATAAAATACAGATACGTGTTATGTGGTAGTTTTTTCCTTCAATATTTTTTTTTTTTCTTTTTATACGTGATTGTGAATGCATACTCAAAAAATATTTAATTAATTATCATTTTATACCTACCATATGTATCAATTCTGTGACTATCATCCGAAGATTTGCAATTGACAATTTTTATTTCGTGCATCGTGAAAAATAATATCGTCTTTTATACATGAAACACTAATGGCGATTCTAGATGGTGTCAATCGGTGCCAGAAGGCATTATGAATACTGCCGTACGTTGACAAAACGTAGAGGTTCGCAACTCGAACGTAACATATAAAATGCTCGAATGTAAGTGCAGACGTTCTGTGTTGTTCGAATATTCTGTACTTACACGCAAGATGTAATATCTTTCATACAACGAGCAGTGTACATAGAAAGAAAGTAATTAAATATTTTCAGCATTTTTTACTAGTGTTTTATGCTCCGTGTAATACGGAGTCGTGTAAAAGACTCTCAAATGCACGCGGTTAAAATCGTGACATTCATATAAATCGAGCCATTGCATAATGTATAATCATTTTGTCAGGACGAGACACCCACCTAGGGTATTCGTACAGTGTTCGCTCATCATAGATATCATCATTCCTATATTAATAATGATACAAAGTAAATTAATATTTGTTTCTTGTATGTATTTAGGAGAATGTGCTTTTATAAAAATTAAAACTTATTATTTCTGTCTTCTTTTCCTTCTTGCTCCGACCTGCATTATTTTTTTTCTTTTTTTCAAATAGCGTTTGAGAGTAGCAAGCTACGTTTGAATGAATGTAAAAGGTAATTCATTGAACGTAGGATAGACGAGAATGGAGGAGAATATTTATAAGTTATGTGCATTATATTTGTACAACGTATTATAAAGTGTACATTATTTAGTTGTATTACAGACATTAGTAAAACTTAATTCTTATTTTATACGATACAAATGGTACCTTTTATTTTATATGTAGAATTGTTATAGAGATATGATCGAAAATGTATTTATTGTTATGCAATTCCAGGGTAGTGAATGAAAAACCCGATGTTTAGATATATTAATCCACGATATCATTTAAAATAAATGAATACAATATTAATTAATAAGTTGTTTCATAGATGTGATTTAATAAAATGATCTGGAAATATTTGTTACGAAAGCGGAGATTTTTAAAAGACATATTAATGTTTATTTTTAACATTTTTCTAATATAACATAAATTCGTTAGCTTTTCGTCGTTCTATTCACAAAAATATGTACATAAGAATAATTCAGATTGAGTAGAAACTTAAATTATTTGTTCTCGTTGTAAAAGAGGGCTGCATAAATTGGCCCCAACGTGTGAATATTCGATAACAATACTAGACGAAGAGTTTCCGTGAATCGTGAGTTTGGAGTAGAAGTGTCCGTATCTCGCCAGGCAATGTTAGCTCCTTCGCTACGCGTGAAAAGTGCTGGAGATGGGACATTCTCACGCATGTAAGCTTATAGATATTGCGCACCTGATGCAGTTCTAAAACAGGCAAGATATCCCTTATGCTTGCCAATGGAGGTGGTAATAATTGACCAAGTGCCATAACACTCACGAGCAAAACACCCTCTTCTGTATTCCAGTTAGCCATAACTGTGGCTGCAATACCTCTTAACAAGACCGAACAATAAGCCAAAGCTGGCCTATACCAAGCTGTCAATTCTAACAATGTCCATAATAATGGCACATCCTTGAACGTTCGACGGATTTGCAAATCTCTTTCTATGGTAACCTAACAATAATCAAACCTGTTTTATAATTATTAAAATAAAAATAATTATTGTTAAACCTACCTTTGTAAATTCTTCATCAGGCCAGGGCAATCCATTATACATGACATCAGATGAGATTAGCTCAACTAACAATAAACTGACCATTGTTAAGGCATCCAGGTTCACTGGATATCGTTCCGATTCTCGATTACTACAACAAGCCTAATAAATTTAAATATTGAATACATTATAATTTAATGATTCATAACCATTCGATAACTACATTTTCAAAAATTTTACCTTTATCACATCTACCAATAGTATTTTATTTAAAACAATCATTTCTTTATCAATTCTATTTTCCGGTGGAGGTCTTCGAGGACCATGTCCAATCACTCCAGCGTGAAAAACAGAAGAGTGTTTTTGAGCTAACATTGTGCTTGTCACCTAAATAGAATGAAATTCGTGTAATTTTTAATAGCAACTATTGGTTTTACAATATTTTACCTGTTTGTGATTTTGATGCAAAAGTAACGCTTCCTCAAATTTCGACTCAAACTTTTCTTTTGCTCCGAAGTATTTGGCAGGATCATTATTAATACTGTGTCCTAAAATTTCTCGCAAAGCCAAAACTCGAGCACATGGCGAATAAGAAGTCAAGTCTTTCAATAAATGACAAACAATTTTCACTCCCTGCTGCTTCTTTGTAATATCTCAAAAACAAAAATTCACCTAAGTTACATTTAAGAATTTTTAATAGAAAAATTATCGAGTACTTACCATCCTGTGCTATGCATAAAAAGAAATACTGAATTATAGCTCTTGTTAATTTTAGCGTAAGTTCTACGTTTGGCATAAAATTATCTTTCTCCGGCATACTAAATAGATCTAACATTTCAGCAATGTCATTGGCCAAATTGAAATCCGTCGTCTTCGTTAATAAGACGGCAATTTGATATAAGTTGGATTTTATAGCCTGTGTTATCATTTTTGACCGAAACACTATTGCCTTGTTAGACTTTTCCCACCTGTGAAGGAAAAATTAACATGAATGTACAGAAGGTATAATAGAACCATTTCTTTGACGTATGTATGTACTTACTTTAATAATATCGTAATATTTTGAAAGAGTTGTCTTGTTTCTTGTATTTCTAAAACGTTTTTGTACTTTATTTCTCTAACAGCTTGTTCTACTACTTGGGTAAAGTAACCATAACTGGCTAATACATTTTCCGTTTCAAACTTATTAGAAGAAAAAAGTACAATGTTGTTAGAAACGAGACGTATAAGAGCAGCAAGATGAAAAGTTGTCACAGCTTTAACTAACATATACGAAGCCGCAGATATTAACATATTGGGACTATGACTTCCAAGAAAACATAGCAACCTGACGGCTGTCTGAACTCTTAATGGATTTTGATTTAGAAGCAATGGTAGTATTACTGGCAGTTCTTGTTTGATAGAAGTTAATAGAGCAATATTTGCAGATTGTGGTCCGTGGGTTCTCAAGAGCAGATCGATTTCTTGTAAAACCAACTCTAATATTTCGGAGCATACGTTTTTTACGCTTTGAGCTGCGTTAATGCTGTGATATCCAACATTACTTGTGTTTAAACTAGTATCCAGTAAGATATTTATTATCTGGGACGCTCCTTGTTCACATCCTAATACTAAATGGACAGTCAAATCTATCAACGCTTCTGGTTGATTATCAAAGTATTTGCACCAATCTGACGCGAACAAAGCTAATTGTGGGATGATATCTGGTTTTACTGCAATTAAACGAAAAAATTATTATAGTTTGTTTTTTCGAAAAACATCGAAGACATTTACTTACAAGTTTGTATCACATCGCTAGTAATTGCTTTTAAAAGAGTTTGCGAAAGAGATGCCAGATTTAGAAGAAATGGAACAGTGGCCAATTTCTGGTTTTTAGTATCCTCATCAACATTTACATCCTCCTCCAAGCTCCACTGAAAGTATAGTTATTATATACATTCTGAACACCTCCCCAACTCATACTGCAGTATTAGGAAAGTTTATACTTTGAATAAATCTAATAATGCTATTCTAATGTCTTGAAAGTGGCTACCAGCCAAATGTCCCAAAATTCCAACTACTGAATTCAGTTTAGGATTTTTAACACTATGCTCATGCCCCATTGCACAAAAATCTTTCAGGCCACATGACAACACTCTGGTGATGACTGTATTTGGAAAACAACTTCCAACATGGGCCACCACCCAATCAAAATGGGGACTATGCAACACACTAGTATCCAATAGTGCTTTAATACAAGATTCTGTGTCTGAATGCATAAGACATTGAAGACATTGAGCTGTGATATCAATCAGAGTTCGAGTAGCACGACAAGACATCCATTGTTGAAGGAAATCATTAATTCCAGCATTGACAGGCAAGTTTCCACGTTTTGCATAATCTGAAGATAATTTACCTGCAATAAAAATATGCCTTTTGTAATAGTTTATCTTAAGACATTTTAATAATAACATACCTAGTAACTCCAATGACCATGCTGAAATGATTGGTGCCCATGCTTCTGGGTTCCCATTAATAAAATTACTCAGAACACTGTGAATTTCAGCTATTATTGTTTCTTCACATATCGCCAAAGTTTGATTTGTCTATACAGATATCACGTAATTCATCGAAATGTTTAACCGGATTGTAAATTTTGTATAATTTATTATTGACAAACTTACTTCAATTTGACGAACGTATTTGGTAACAGCAACGAAAAATACATTGCAAAAATATTCCAGCACCGCATCTCTGGCAGCAGGTACATTTCGAAGTAAAGACAAAGCTGTACGAGTCACATCGAGCGTGCTAGTACTGTGAGTAGGCCTAACCGCTCCAGAAATAAATTTTCTGACTTCTACCAAAATGTCTTGTGGTGACAGTGCTCCCGTTGAATGTAACATTTTAATTGTCTTCTCCTAATTAGTCAAAAAATATAATTTGGAACATATAAACACATTTTCTTGTGAGTATTTGAGGTTAAACACCACCACAACTTCAAATTGCACTGTTCCAATTATTATAATGGAACTTACAGATCATCATTTTTATCGTAATCATTTTTATTGCTTTTATTATTGTGATTACACCTTGAGAAATGTAGACGATAAAAATTATAGATTTAAATGAAGGGAAATACACGAAACGTAGAATACAATGTTTTCATTTTCTTTAAACACCAGTTTTACTTGTTGCCTGTAGATTGCGCGCGCAATCATATCGATATATCGATTATTTCAATATTTCGACCTTAATCGAAATTTCCATACAGTGATTTTAATCGAAATTCAATTCTTTGATATATGTACCTTAATCAAAATTTTAAATTGCAATAAGAAGAATTCGTAAGAGAAAAATTTAAAAAGTTGCTTCAATTCCACTTCTGTGCATCAGCATGGAGAAAAGTGAAATGTAAGCAATGAGTATTAATAAATGTATACTTAATAAAATATTGGATAATAAATCATTTTATAACGCATTTATGTCCGTCGCACAAATTTTCCCGATGACGACAGATTTGTACTACTTAAGATTTCTAATTTATACGAAGATAAAATTTGTCTTCATTAAAACAGGATACATTTTTCTAAAAACAATTTTATTTGGTTTTGTTTAATCATTAAACATTTCACAAATACTTAGAGTGTCATGGATATATTTAGCTTAAAACTAGCACTTTGTTATCTTTCATAAGATAAAATACTTTAATGGTTTAAATACATATGGATAAACTTTTTTAAGGAATGAATTGCACAAATAATATCTAAATGGTCTTTTCAGGAAATGAATTATGAATATTATTAAATAAGAAATTTTTTGTGCAGTGAGAAAAGCAATTCAACGTCTTTTCTTCTTTTCCTGCTTCCGTGGTCTGTGAGGTCTCCTTGGAGTAACCTGAGGACTGTTTTCAGAGCATTCCACATCACTGGGGTCATCCTGTAATTCACAACATGACAAAATTTTCTGTAAGTTAATTAAATTATTTAGTCATTGATTTACATACCTTCAAAGCTGCTACACCATCAGAAGGACCAGCTTGATAGACTACTATTGCCAATAAACATATAACTTGGAACACTGCACCAATATAGAGTCCAAATCTTAATAATTGCTCAAATAATGTTTCTTCTGCTGGGAGTAAAAGTCTTTTCAATTGTGCATCTGTGTCTGCCATTTCTAAATAGAAAAGATAATAATTTTACTGATAGAGAAAATCTTCCATATTAATGAATAAATCGATTTTTATCCTAGAAGTAGCAAACGAATTTTGCATTAATTTATTAGTAGAATATACAAATGACAACGCTGCTAAAAAATAATTACCTATTTTTATTTAAGAAAAATATGTCTTTTAGATATAAAAACAATTCAATTTTGTAAAATGAAGGTAAAACAAGTTCGATTTATTTCGAGCATACATTGTTACTTTCAGTACAAAAATTTTAGCTTTTTCATTTGAGTTCTGAATTTTTTCTTCACTGTTTCCGAACTAATCGTCTTTATTTGCATTTGGAAAACATCATAGAAAATATTTCTGAGTCAGGAATTCTTGAATCACAATTAACATGCATAAGATACCTCTCATTCTACAACTGTCACAAATTACATTTCTAAATATTTTTCTTTTTCTGAAACATATGTTATATACTTAGAAATCAATAACCTAAGCAACAGCAATTGTAGAATTTTCATACCGTATGTACAAGCTTGACAAATACTACCAACTTTCTCAGTGACGTTTATGTCAATAATTATTTAAATGTCAGTCAAGCTCGATCAGACTATTGATACAGGATTGACATTTAAAGAAAGTTGAACGTGACAAACGAACTTCAATCGATCTATCGGGAAATATATTCCATCATAATCAACATGAAGTAGATCTTTTAATTTTTCTTTTCTTTTTTCAATCAAGCAAAAGAGACGAACATAAAATACTTATTTCACTTCTCTTGAAGTTGGCAGCGAATAGTCTATTCATATATTTGAAACTAGGTGGCACTTCGATCTAAAAATTCGATTTAGGCGTCACCTATCAGTGATATTTGACATTAACACCCCAACTTTATAATATATAAATAAATATACATATACTCCTATTTTTTATAAAGAAAAGTTGAAGTGGTTATTGCGTAAGGGTGAGTTAATATAATTCAAGTCTTGAGTCGAATCGTACTGTAAATTTATTGAAAAATAGACAAGTATATTTTGGAATAATTGAAAATGGCGGGTTGATGGCAGCGCCGGAAGTTATCTGGGTTCGAGGCTTCATTGCTTGCGAGTCCGTGGATGTGAACCTTTGTTTTGTACAGAAGAATGGCTGCCATCTTTAGTTTTCGATGGATGTTTTCCGAAGAGATCGTGAATTCTCGTATTTATTGTGGTATTTAATAACGTAATAAAATCTCGGATAGTGAAATAACGTTGTCCGCGATGTAAAGAGTGTTTTTTTGTTTATTATTTAAGCTGCCCTGGTGTCAATTCCGTTAAAAAATGCTTGTGTTTACATCCAAGTTTAAAGTGAGCTTCTGTATTCCTGTCATATTAAGGTAAGCAATGCATTTTTACGGATCTTGATTGCTCTAAACGATTGGAAAATTGCGATTACAGTGACAAGTGATAAAAATTCAATCGAACTGTCATTAAAAAGACAGGTGTAATGCTACATTCTGTTCATATTATGAATCGTTTGTGACGTTAAAATTATCTTGTGATTTGTGTTTTTTTTACACAATGTCTTCGAAAATATGCAACAAATTCCTCGTTGAAATGTTTTTAGCAATTTTCCTGGCATTTATCGCATTATGCGACTTTATGCAGTATTTCACTTAACCAAAAAAAAAAATTTCGACGTTTCCAGATATCGGTTTCGGCATTCTAAATAATTGATTTCGACTACATTTTGTTGCTGTCCTTTTAAAACAAGACTAAAGTTTAAAAGATATCTGTTAGTTGCAATTTTCATTTCTGTATAGTGGCAGCAATGGTTGGTAAAATGGTGAGTGAGTACAGGTCAACCACATCGTACACATACTACTTAAGCTGTAAAACTTACATAGTTATTAATTTTCGTGCGATGTTTAGACATTTACTTAAAGTTTTTCAACGTTTGTCTTTATTTTCATTTCGAATTATTATATAAAAACTTATTTTCAAGTGTCTTATATTAATTGCAAATTATAACTGCTCAATTTTTTGGTACATTTTTTTGTCAAACAAGTTATTTTCAATTTGACTTATATATGTAGTATCATTTATATTACTTATAATTGGCCATATTGCTTGCTAAAGATAATGATACGTAGTGTCAGAAATTGTGGTTATATTCTCTCACCATTTTATCTTGTAGATGTAATGAATAACAAATTCACAATCTACTTTAGAATTAAAATCTGTACAGTTATATTCACAAAATTCAGTGAAATAAATTTTAAAGATAATTTTATTATGATATGTTTACACAGTATCAACAAATTAATAATTTTTAGACCTTTTATAACCCAAGTATAATAGCATAATCACAGTGCTACATGTTTCATTAAATTAGTGTGTTAATAGACAATAATTCATATATTATTTGAAGCTTGGCATAGCCAAGAAAGTACGCTGATTTTTCGTCAAAATATGGTCATCATAATAAAGGGTTCCACAGACAATTGTTTAGTGTGTACGGTAATGTCGGACACCATTAGGTTATAAAATAATTTCTTATAATTTTTCGTAATGTGTAAAGATACATAAGGATTGGTATATAATTTAAAAGTATGATTCAATGTTTTTAACCTAGCAAAGGAAGTTTGTAAGATGAAAATTAAT